TATATGGAAGTCCAAATCGGATAAGATAAAGCGATCCCTTGTCACACAAGACTATCTTTCTGGAGGTTTAAAAATGGTCAACTTAGACAATTTTATAATTGCTTTAAAATCTTCTTGGATGAAAAGGTTAACTCAAAAACAAAAGCCATGGATGGATTTCTTTTTTGCATTAAATGGAAAAGATGTTATTGAGAAGTTATTTCATTTTGGGGATCTGTTTATTTCAGAGCATTTACTTCCTAAAAACAATTTTTTCTGGCAAGATGTATTAAAATCATGGCTGGAAGTCATGAAGTGTTTAAATAATTATAAACATGTAAAAAGTAATTTTTTAAATATGCCGGTGTGGTACAATTCTAATATCTTGGTTGGCAAACGGTCTGTTTTTATCAAAAATTGGTATGAGAAGGGTATCAGAGTAATAGGAGATTTTTTAGATAGCGAAGGAAAATTTTTATGCTTTGATTCTTTACAAAAAAGATTTTGCCTCTCACAAACGGATACAAATAAGCAGATTATGCAATATAATAGTGTTCTTACTGCAGTATCAAAATATTTGAAATGTATGTCTATTGACAACCACTTATTCACAAAATCTTACAATACACTTATGCCCTTTTATTATGAATTGTTGTTACAGTCAGAAAAATGCACTAAGCCAATTTACTCCATATTAAACACAAATAATGTTAAACCTACATCTATATCAAAATGGATTTCCATTTTGAGTATCTATGGGCAGTGTAATTTTGAAATACATGATGTTTTTAAAGTTTGTTTTAAAGTAACAAGTGATACAGCTGTACAATGGCTGCAGTTTAGAATACTGCATAGGATTCTTCCTGTAGGTTATTATCTTAAAAAGATTAATATCAAAACTACTGATTTGTGTACCTTTTGTAAGAATGAAAGTGAAACAATCCAACATGTATTTTTATTTTGTAATAATATTTTGGCATTGTGGAGTAGTCTTAGCCAACATATATATAGAGCTACTTCAAAAAGGGTCGGATTTAACATTAATAATGTTATATTTGGAGAGATTCCTTTGTCAAAAAATAATAGAGCTGTGAATTTTATTATATTATACACTAAACAATATATCTTTACTTGTTTGATGCAGAAGAAAATGCCAAATCTCAGTGCACTCTTATGTCATCTAAGAATCAAATATAATGTTGAAAAATTTGTTTCAATCCAAAAGAATAAAATTGTGTATTTTAATTCTATATGGTCTACATGGAAACCTGTTTTTGAGGAGTGACAGTTCAGATGGCATTCACTATTGTTACTGTCTTTTTTTTTTTTTTTTTCTTTTTTATCCGCATATTGATAAAAGAATATATGTATAATTCAGATAATTTATGCACAATGTTATAAGGCGTTGGAGGAAATAGTGACGAATTGAATTTACATTTATTATCTTTTTTTTTTTTATCTCTCTTTTAAAAATTATCTATAGATGGATAGTGGATAGTGTGAAAGGGTGAGTGTGTTTGTGTGTAAGGCATAAATGTAAATATGTTCATCTATCTCTTTGTTTATTATGAGAAAAAATATAAATAAAAAAAAAAAAAACCCTTGTAAGGGACCTGTGGAAAGAAGCAGAATTGATTAGTTCAGACAACAAAGTGGATGAATTGCAAAACGGCAACTTTTGTTTTGCCGAGGATGAACAGGTTTTCATACTAAAGGAAACACCGAAGGATTTTCTTGTCAGTGTTCAAAGTTTAAAAAACTTCGAATTTGTGGTTATTTGATTGTTGTTGCTGATGACAGGGGTAGACTGCAAGATATACCAAAGAACTTTAAATACAATCTATCAATGGTTATCTACAAGAACAGACCAACTTCCTCTGATGAAAAAAGAGTAAAAAAACCAAGAATATTAAGAAAATGCCAGTCATTGTCGACGAAGTAGAAGGGAGTGGCGTCACTTGTGAACTTAACGTTCAGCGACCATTCAAATATTGTTAGTCATGGCATAATGATGAGCCATTTAAAATTGTCAGGGTTGAATCTATTACTGGAAAACGAGCAGCATTTTGTGCTATATACACATCTTTGATCAGCAACAGGAATCCTTTGCCCCCATTGGACATCATCTTTTCCCATCAAGAAAGATATAAATATCCACAAAAAATGAGGATGGGTAGTTGGTTTGGAAAACAACGAAGAAAAAATGAGACCACATTATTATTATATTAAGAAGAAATGTCTTCTGAGAGTCACCCTTACTTTTGGTTAGATCTCATAGATAAAAGTGAAGTAACCCTTCAGGATATTCACATAAATATGTTAAGAGATGTTTTAGGATTTGAGATTTGAAGTTTTCCTTAGCTTGAATTACAACATTGATAGCAATAAGTGAACTCGTTATATTAACGAGAAGTGTATCTGTATTTTGCACATGTTAGGCTATTTCTTGTTTATTTCATTTATAGTTTCTCCTTTAATTGGGTAGATTTGAAACAAATGTGTTGTTTGTTTTATTTTCAAAACTACAGTTAATTTGTATATTTTTTATTTATGCATACATGTTTTTCAATAATCTTATTCTTTTTAATTTTATTTTGTAAGAATGTTCATATGTAGGCTATTTTTACCGAGTAGTTGCAATGAGTACTGAGTATTGGTTTCACTGTATTATTTTATTTCGGAAAGTTATTTATGATACGCTGGCTAAACTAACAGGTAGTGTTCTTTAGGAACAAATATGAAGAGCTGTTAAAAAAATTGTTTATAAGAATATCTGATTAAGCATATTGTTGTATTTAAAGGACTACTTAATTGACTTGGCACAAGTTATTCCAACTGAATTTTGAATATGAGGAAGAATGCAGTTGTAATGAGAAGGATTATGTATTGAAAGAAACATTAAATATATATTGTTAGTTGTACATCTAAAACAAAACAAACGAGTTGAACATATAGATACGAGTATCTTGTATCTGTCAAGTGTCATGTTACTTGACACATAGTGATTTGAATTTTTTTGGAAATATGTCTTAAACTGATGGAATATACTTTGATACTGTTATGTTGTCATATCCTGGTGTAATTGTGTATGATGATCGTGTGATAGAGAATCATGATTTGTGGTTTTCTCATTTCAGAGGATGATAATGTGTTAGAAGGTGGAGAAATTATAAATTTTCTATAACTAATTATAATAAATGGAAAATAACCAATAAATGTCATGCTTTACTATGCTGGATATATGAATAACTTTCCGCTAAACGTCTGCGTCTCTTATATCTCTTATATTTTATTTCACCACCTATACATTCAAGCTTAACTGTGTTTCGTTTCGTTTCGCTAAATATTTATACCCACACAGATATTAGTATTTAGCGGAACGGGACGGAATCAGAGAATGGCCATACTTGCAAAGCGCAACAACTCTCTTTACCTTTAAACTGCACATGAACGATATTCTTTTTATAATAAGCTATTGACAATAAACTTTGAAAGAAAAACAATAAATTTTTACATCAATGATAGGGGTACGTCTCTCATTCAATGCAGACCACATAGTAACTACAGATATTAGTATTCAGTGGAACTAAACGAATCTCGGCAAAATTGAAACACAATGAAATAAATACCGGTATATGAAGAAATAAGTTGTTACGTGAATGTCATATATTTCTTTAATCAAAAATGACTTGTTCTATCAGGTAAACTAATTTTGGAATATTCCGATTTACCAGGATTCATGAAGGCTTAAAAATTGGCTGTTCCATACTACTGCAGATTTATGTTGTTTTTGGTTGGTTCTTGTTTTTTTTCTTTCCAATTGAAAAGATGTGGTTCTGTTTGTTCCAAAAAGTACCGATACCCGTGTGGATATTAGTAATTTGCAGAACGGAACGGAAGAAGATTTGATCATTTTGAAATACTTTTCTTACCTCTTCTTTTCAAATATAAATGGTGTTTAATTTTCTTACAGAAATGAAATGTTATCAAAACCTTTTGTTTGATTGTATGTAAAGAAAACAAGAATTTTTTGGACTGTCGCCGGTCAAATTAATTTTTTCTTGCTAAGCGTGATTTTTAAATTCAAATCATTACACGAACGAATATGACGTCGTTCATTCACAGGGTTTTGAAACCCTTGATATTGTTGTTCCGTTTCGCAAGGTACTAATATTGTATTTTGCGAAAAGGGAAGGGAACCTGTTATGTGTGTTTCTTTTCTTATTAGCGCAGAACTGAATGTTTAAGATAACAATCAAGGTTCAGGTAGTAAACATATTTGTTAGCATACAGCAAATTTCAAATCACGCGTTTTAAGATCTACCTTTACACCATAATGTTAAACTTATTTTGCATATCGATTTAGTTAAAGACAGAGATATGGTATTTACGTTTTTTATCAACATCAAGGCCTGCGATTTTATTTGTATAATTATATAACTGATATAAAGACAATACTTTTGAAAAAGCTTGAAAGGTAAAAATATAATGCTTTATTATGCAGGAACGGAACCAGAGAATAAACATACTGGCAAAGCGCGACAACTCTCTTTACCTTTAGACTGCACATGAACGATATACTTTTCATATTAAACTATTGTCAGTAAAATGTGAAAGAAAAGCATGAATATTTTTTTACATTAATGATAGCTAAGTGTACACCTCTCATTCAAAACAGTTCACATAGTCACTACACTTGACACAGCAGATCAAAACTCAACAACAAAATAATTCATCACTTATAGACATTATATTTCATGGTCCTCTACTTAAGACATTTGACACTTCTTTGGTTGGTTTCCTAAGATATAAAATCGAAGAATAATTTGTAATAAAGTAACGTATTATATTAATTTTTATTATATATAATATATTCATATTTATTCCATCCCCTAGGGTGCCCCACAACTGGTTCCTTTCCGTTTCGTTCCGCAAAGTACCATTAGCCCTGTTCACCAATGCTTTCAATGCTTCTTAAAAGGTTGTTAATCTTTGTGAAAGCTTGTGATAAGAAATCTTTGTTAAGCCACCAGTTGTGTTTCAAGATTTGTTTGAAGCATTAACGGATTATCAGTAATAGCCTGTTTATAATAACAATAAAAATATCATGACGAAAAAACACATTTCTCTACTATCCATTGTAGATTATTGTTGCTAAAGCAACGCTTAAAGGAATTCTTGTAGTGATATGGCAAATTTTTACTTTGAGGTAAAAATCAGCTTATTGACTTTGTTCAGTAATTCATATTCTCAGATATTTAAGGAACAACCAAAATGCAGTGTGGATTACCTTTGACTCCTGCATATATTTTGCAACAGTTTAACAAAAATATTACACCTGGTTTTCCGGCAGGGTCTCCAAATGTTCTCGGACTTTTCTCATTAATAAATTCTAAATAATCTAATATATAATTTTAGTGCCTTTATCGATGCTTCTTATTCGCAACCTTCAGTTTAAGATGATTACACTAAATTTTGATTGCAGTACCTGAATTGACTTGAACTTTATTAAGAAGATTGGTAAATGCAATGGTAAGTTGAGAATACATCAGCTGAAAATGACAACAAGCTGAGAAAGTTTCTGCAGAAATATATAAACAAATGAAAAAAAACCACATAAATATTTCGAAAAACCTACTCTGAGTATTATACATTTCTACCATTCATATACAAAAATTATAAATACCTCAAGAAATGAAAAGACTCCAAAGACTGTGGAAAAGTGAGATTGGCTTAATTATTCTTTGAATTAACTTTTTTCACAGACTTTTTGAAGAAGTTTATGCATTTGTATATGTCTGTATATACAGATTTTAGTGTTTTTCAAAGATCCAACCCATAGACGATGAGATTTGTAATCATAGCTCAGACTGTATGGATCTTCTATACCTTGTTGCTCTGTCAGTAGCACTGACAGAAATTGACCATCCTTGTTAATCATCTGTACTGTTCTGGTGGTAGAATCACACACAAGGACGTTTGACAGTGCATCTGTGCAAATTCCTCGTGGTTTAAATTCTGATCCTGGTTTACTCCCTTTATAAGTAAAACGATGGATTCCTGTACGGTCTGTCACGACTACATAACCTAACTCAGAAACATTATCAATCATGTAAGAAACAATCACGTCTCCGTTTTGGTTTTCTGTTATGTATATGGGATTACCATATAGTTCCTGTTCTGGGTCATGTTGGAGTTCTTTTCCTGTATCGGTATACCGGCCTACCCTTGCTGTACATGTATCCTGTCTTATCATTCCAATCAGTAAATTCCCATTGGAGGGAGAACAATAGAGACAGTGTGGCTTCCAATGCTCTTTTGTCACCTTTACCGTTGACTTTGTTATAATGTCTGACTTGATTTTTTTTAATTTCATAGTCCTCATCTATATATATGAGATCTCCCTGTCCTGTCACTGCATGCACTCCATTTTTCTTACATTTATCCTTAATATCATGCAAAGTCTCACCTGTTGTATATATTAACTTAAGATTGTTCCGACTGCTGATCCAGGCAAAGTCTGATGATACGAATGAGATATGACGGGTATCGTCATCAAATAACCATGTACGCTTCGTTGTGAAAGATATCTGTAAAAGTGGTGTAGGGACAAGTTCCAACAGTTGTTCTACTCCTGTTTGTCTCTTCCCTGTCTCAGAGATTTGGATTTCTCCTAGGAAGTGAAAAATATCTTCATTATCGATACCTTTTATCAATGCTAATGGGATGTTCTTAATTGTGTAGAAGTTAGATTTTTTTAATGAGCTTTAGAAATTGTATAGCTTTGTTTGCTAAATGTTCAGATCTGTATTTAAATTTCTCTATGAGTCCAAGTCGTCTCCTTTGTTGTTGAAGTTTAGAGTTAAGATATAGTTCTAATTCACTTAGGTGCTCTTGTAAACGATTTATCGTTTTCTTTAGCACAGCACCTTTGTTCATCATGCTCCACCAGAGTTCTTTGATTTCTCTATGACAGGATTTTAAATCAGAATTGATTCTTGCCTGGATAAAAAGACTACGTTGCATAATCTCACGTGTTACGTAAAAAAATCTTTCGTTATTTTGTTTCTGATAAGTTTTATACATTGTCTTAATATCTATTCCATATATTCCATAACAACTCCTGTCTTAACATCTAGAACAAACTGGAAACTGACAATTTTCACACCACATTTTACACAACATGTTTGGGTGAATCGTACAAGTCTGTAATATCATAATGTCGCCATACTTTAAGCGGTCAATCACTACATCGTGGTATTTTGTGTCAAAGTCTATCACATGAACCTCCTTACAAATCTTGTTTACATGTCCTACAGTAGTATTCTGCACTGCTTTTACACCGAGAACATTCTGGCGGTTTCAGCTGTGTTGGGAATGATTTCCCCATAATGGTATGGTTATATTGATGTAACATCCATTTTGCTTGTTAAATTTTCTTTATTTGCTTTTATCACATTGTGGATCACACAATCTACAAAAAAACCCATAAATCATTTAATCATCCATCAATATTACATTAGCTTCCGATTTCGGTCAAACATTCAAAATACAGCAATTCTTTCGATTACCAATACTGAAATATTCAATTTAGAGGCGCGATTAGTCGTTTGACCGAGACAAAATGATGTAGTGGAAAGACAAAGCAAGATGATCTTAATCCAATTTAGAATGCAAAATATGCAAAATATACAGATACATATATGTAAAGGCTGTCTGAAGGTTTGATATGCATTAAAAATTTACATTTTATTTTTATCAGAAATAGTCTTTGTATTAATTTGCAGTCAAAATGATATTAGAGTTTAATCAGGTACGTATTATTAAAAATAGCATTTTTGATATGTCACTTGCATAACTTTTTCGATCAAGTATGAATTTATTCGGCATACATAAAGGATATGGAGATTACAAATTATTCAATATCAAAGTCCATAAAACAATACAAAATTGGAGCAGAGCAAACGCAGGCCTCCGAATCATCAGAGGTGGGATCTGCAGGTGCCATGGAGGAGTTAGCATCCCCTGCCGACCGGTCACACACGCCGTGTGCTCCTTGTCATGATCGGGAAATGAAGGAGAAATCCATCGTCAATTCAGTGTATAAATAATGGACTAACAATACGCATGAAAAACGTCAGTCAGCATTTGACTCAATGATAAATTGTTCTTGCTGACAAGGTTATTTCTTTAATGAAGCATACATTTGAGATCTAATTTTTACCTGAGCTTAATTAAAGAACAACCTTTAATTTTGTTTGGAGAATTAAGAAGCAAAAATTGAAAACTAAAATTGAATATGTTCTCCGAATTGATTTTTTTTTAGGTATTTTATATGCAGTGAATGTTTTTTATCAATTGAGAGTGATGGAACTTCATAATTTCTATTTAAAATATAAAATTGACGCTAGTATTTTATATAATTGAGCACGACAATAAGCTATAGAGTAGATATTTACAACGCAATTATACAAAAAATCTTTCCATAAAAGATATAAAATGTAAGTAAGTCGTGTAGAATAATTACGAAAAAACAGTGTAAAGAAAAGAATGTAAATTATTTCCCGCCTTCGTGGCTTACAAAGCCTTTATACTATTGTATTGAATATCCCATTAATTAGATTCCCCAAAAAATCCCATGTCGTTTCTCTGTCAGTCCCTGACATTCTCCAGTCTCTCGCCGACTTTCTCCTATGATTCCCTGTCGTTGTGCCTACCTACCCTTTCCACACCCTGTTGTTATCCCTGTCTACACTGTCTACTCCCTGACGTTTCCTGACATTGTTCTTGCCTAGACTCCCTTTCCCCTGTTGTCCCCTGACATTTATTTTGGCCAAGAAAAGGAGTTTAAAATATATTCTTGTTGCAAATTAAATGTGAAAAATGCTATAGTCTTGAAAACTCTTGCTCTGTATATAGTTTCTGTGATTTTTAAGTTTGGTATCATTTTGGAAAAAAAAGTCAGCAAAAATAAAAATGCATTGTCACTAAAAAAGAAAAAAATCCTAATTCAATGCATCTTGTGAAGCTAAACGGCATTCGAATGTACGTTTTAAACCTTAAACCTTTTATTTATTCTTTATTAACTTTTCATTTAATATTCGTTTACTTTGAATCATCTTTGAGCGTAATATCTGTTTTTTGTAAAAGAGCTAGATTTAAATTTTTGATGATAAATTATCAGATCAAAATATTTGTTTTCTAGTCAATTAATAAAAAAATAAATGAAAAGAGTAGACAGGGTAGTTAGAGACGACAACGATAGGGGATCATAGGAGAAAGTCAGAGAGAGACAGGAAAATGCCAGAGACTGACAGGGGGACGACAGGGGATTTTTTGGAATCGAAGGGGATACATGTATCTAATTAAGTAGTGTATATAAAATTCTAAGAAAGGGCATATCACAGTGTTTATGTGAAAAAGAGAACTAACCAGTATAGTTAGAACAATACATGTAGATGAACACAGCATAGTTAAGGCTAAAGTAAGGAGGCGGGGCCTAATTTGTTCCGGAAATGTTTACTATGATGTCACACATAATATAATGTCTGCAAAATACCACAAAATGAACTTATTTGCTATTTCAAACAGCTGAATAGCTGTATACTACTTACAAAGTTACTATTACATGCAGTTTTGTCGTTTGACAAATCCCACACAACAGTATATAAACGATGCATCGACGCAATGCACTTGTCAATGTGACGTCATCTTTCAAAAATAACGCAGTCTGTACACAGTGAGAGGCTGATCAAGTCAAATTTTGTACAATGAAAAATGTATTTTGTTCTCAAATAAAATATTTGCATTAAAAAAAAGGCCGTTAACTTGGATGCGATGTCAATTTTAGTATTTTTTTTTTTATAAACTGTCCTTACATTCTCCAGACAAGTGATGCTGTCGTGTATTTGTATGCAGATTCATCGAAAAAGTAACGGAAGGGCCCTAATAAATCGATTTATTGCAAGGGCATACCCTTAATGTATCTTGTAAAGTTTTTACACATAAACTCAAGAAGCATTAATATATTTGCAAAGTGCTGCCAACCTCATGAAATCTTGCAAATAAATTAATTATAGCAATATTAATTGTAGTTGACCAGCAAAATATTCAACTTGCTGTCCAACAAATCAAATTTTAGTAATGAAAAAAAAGGGAATCTATATAGGTTCGCAGCATTTTTCACAAACTTCATATAGTGTTGAAAAGGATTATTAATTTAACCAAGATTTTTAACTTGGTTATGCCCTTTCAATATTTGAATTTATAGATGACCTCTGAACTGCAAGTATAATTGCTAAAACTATCTGACGTCGACATCAAGTGACAAGTCTAAATAAATCTAAATGTTCCCGACATGTTGATTTAAACCACATTACATTTTTTTGAAGTCCTAAAAAGAATCGCCCATCCTAACAAAGTATGTATTTTTCATCTTAAAAAATCGCCGATATATCCATTTGTAACCTTTAAAAACTGTGCTGCGCATGAACTTGTGTATGCTCGATGTAGCATAAGCATAATTTATAAACCTTGGTTATTGTTCATAGGGTATGCACCAAAGAGCTATACGCGGTATATTGCATATATTTGCCCCCACAAAGGTCAAATTTTGAAAACTTCCTGTACTGTGCTGAATTCAATAAATTGTATGATAAATATAAATAAACAGAAAATATTATAGTGTCAAAGCAGTGTATTCATAATTTTTGTTTTTATGACGTTACAAACTAGCCCGATTTTATATCCTTTTTTCAAAAGAGGATAAAATGGACAAAATTTCAACAATTTTAGCCTTAAAATTGATAGAGCGCAAGTTTGTTCAGGACTGATATTGACATATTTCATTGATATTAATAGATTGGCAACATGCATTGTGAAGAGTTCAATAACAAATGATAAAAATGAAAAATGTAAACATGTTTGCTCCTATCTACCATGTGTTTGTAGCTTAGTGGCAAAGAAAATTATTAATTCTATTATATTATCACCTATGGCAATTACAACTGCTTGGACTTATTGTAGAATAAAATGCCACCAAAAAAGAGGAAAATGTGACGGGTCTGGAGCCTCCCAAAAAGATGAGGTTACGTAGTCAACCGGCTCAATTGCTCTCTGTGGATTCAGTTTGGGCAATTCGGGGGATTCCAATTGATCATCGACTCAAGTGGCTGCTCCAACAAATCAGCTGGCAGCAGCAAATCTTAGACAACAGCAACAGCCTTGACTCCCAGCAACGATTCTACAAACAAGATCGCTTCAAAGGCTGCACCACTGCACCGCAGACTTCTATTACCTCTTCTAGTGATTTAAATAGTTCCAATTTGGTAAACACCCTTATAACAGCTGCATTGTTTTTCCTTATAACAGTTGCATTGTTTTTCAGGTGTGTCGGTAGCAGAAACATTTAACAGCAACAACCACATTCTGTCCCATTATCAGTAGACAAAAAAATAAATAAATAAATAAATAAAATCTTTAATGATCATTTCATTGAACTCAAATGTTTACTTCTAAATTTCAAAGAGGAAAATATTTCAATTCAGATAGAAAATAATGTTTATCATTAAATCCTCAGGCAACTAGTTTTAATTGTAATGGGAACCATTTCAGATGTTCACATAGTGCTCCCCCAAGTTCCTTTTGGTGTCTTATTCCCGGAAAGCTTCATTAAATAAGGCAATCTAATATATTAGTCATTTAAGGGTTTACACACACGCAAATACATGCACATACATAATGACCATGTCAAATTGTATACACTTTTAATGTATCCATTTTAAAAGCAATTCATCATAAATAATTGAAAATTGGCTATATTAAATGTATTTGTCATTTTACACACGTGCATGTATGTGCAGATTTACCATGTCATTTGGTGAACACTATCACTGGTATTATATTCTGATTTTTAAATCATTTCATTCTCAAAAACATATATATATATAGATATATATATATATATATATATATATATATATATATATATATATATATATATATATATATAAATGCAATTTATGTAATAAATGATTTTATGCTGACAACTGTACATATTTTATTTTGTAACCTGTGGGGAGCCTCAATTATTTAACCAAAGCTAATGCCCGTATGTTACCTCTTAGCAATGCTGGATTTTGATTGGCTGAGAGATAGCGTCCTTTCTTTATGTAACTTTAGCCTGATAGAAGCGCAACATCACAAAGAAATTTTTTAACGAAATTTTTGTTTTCCCACCCTCCTCCCCTAATGGACCCCACCTTTGCCCATTATTTGATTATTAACATTTGAACTTATCTGTTAGTCCCATACCTGTTACTTTTTATGTTTACGGATATGTATTTATGTGTGTAAATTTGTATGTATGTCTGTCCGTTTTTCAAGACAGAT